ACTTAAATAATTTTGCTCATTTCAAGAAGCCTCATAAATCTGTTGGGCAGTTCATGGATTTAAAACTCTCCTTGCATAAATGTATGTGCACACCACAGGAACTGGCTGTTCATTCTCTGAGCATTCATTTTATTTTTATGGGTAATAATGGCTAGCCATCAGTCAATGGCCCAAAGCCTGCCAAGCAAGGTTGCCAGGTCCTGGGCCACCAGCTGGAGTCTCAGGCAATTGCTCTGCTTCTATGGAGACCACTTGCAGGGGAAGCCATTGGTTTGTGCAGAAGAGGAGAAAGTTGGCTTGCTTGTTGTTGTTGTTGTTGTTTGGTGTGTTTGAGATGGCTTTAGTGCCTGGGCACCCATCTCCATCTGTTCCAAGTTGGTGCCGGGGCTTATTGACTCAATGCATGTATATTTCATGTGCAGAATGTCTATGTACTAAAAAGCCATTCATTAAGGGAAAGGAACTGAGAACAAGATAGTGGGTATACAAACTTGGGCCCAACGTACCATTTGGAGCAAGGCAGGGAGTGAAGCAGCAGAATAAAAACTCATTAATCTTCTTGTAGCACAATCCGTGGCAGTGGTATTGGGGTCATGGGAAACACAGACACACAGGCACAGAAACAGACACACACACACACACACGCCACGCCCAGTGAACTGGTGGTGAGATTTCCACAAGCTCCAGGAGCAGTACAGGGCCTGGGAAAACTCCCTATGTATCACATATGCTTTTAAGACACACAGACACAGAAACAGACACACACACACACACACACACACCACGCCCAGTGAACTGGTGGCGAGATTTCCACAAGCTCCAGGAGCAGTACAGGGCCTGGGAAAACTCCCTATGTATCACATATGCTTTTAAACTAAAGTCAAACGGGATATAGGCCCTGCTAGAGATTATCTCAGGTTTGAACTCTGAAATCTCAGTGAATGGGCTCCTACTGTCCTCCTGCCAATTCTTGTCCACTATCTCTATGAAGCTTTGCCTATACCTTGGCTTGGAAATCTTACACCTTGACCCCTTATTGCTCTGTTGCTAGGTGGTGTGAAAGTCAAGAACAAGCGAGTAGGGGACGTGGGTGGGTGGGGAGTCAAGATATCTCAAAGTACAGAAGGTTCTCCCCCCCCACCCCGCTAGTTTTAAAAGCCTTGCCACCTTAATAGCTCCAGAGCCAGAAGATGGCTGGTAGCTGTGAGTGACTCTTGCCACCCCCACAGTGTGGTGACTGAGATGTAAATGATGAATTCGTTCTTTTACGGGTAGGAGTTGGCCGTCTTGGGAGGATTCTGTTCTGTGAAAGAATCTCTGTTATAAAATGTCATTGCCCACATGTTGTCTGTTAAACTTTGATTACTCATTCAGGCTCAAAAGAGGTGTTGGATAATAGGTTGAAGCAGAGTTATATATAGCTTTCAGATAGGGTTCTAAGGCCTGCAGAATTTTTCATTAGATAGGCAGTGGCTGCTTAGGTTTAACTCCGGCCGGCCTCCAAGACTACCAAAGACATCCTAAGGATGATAATAAGTGAATCAAATTTCTTTAGTGGCTTTGAGAATCATGAGGATTATGCTACCCATGGCTATTCATTATGACTGTTATGTGTGGCCTCCAGTACATGTAATAATATCAGTTTTTGAGGGATGAGAACAAGAGGATGCTTTTTTTCCTCATGTCTTGTTTGGGCACTTCTCTTGGATCTCTGGTTGACTAAGTATGAGAACAGAAAGAGACAAGAAGGCTAGATAGTTTTGATCCAACTTGGGTCTTCTGAAGCTATTACATACCTTTTGCCTGAATTTAAAAAAAAGTGGCAGGAATTACAAGAACATTTTTGCTAAGAGGCACTGACCACAAATACCCCATTACCTCTTCCATTGGAGACTAAATAGTCAGCTATTTTAAACCACTACAAACTGTTCCATGACATTCTTTTTATTCACGTCACTAGCTATGAGTTTTCACTGCACAGTGAATGCTCACCTTGGGCCAGACTTCATGCTCATATTAAAATAGATGGAGCTATGAATAGAAGAAAACAGTGATGTTTTGGAAAGAATATCAAGAACAATGTTTTTTTTCATCTGAAGATGATTTTCAAGCTGGCTCACTATATTCTTTTTCATTTGCTACTTCTTACGTGTACTGGAAAATACAGATTGCAGAGAAACCATGTTTTTTTCGATTACTAAATACATTACCAGGAAATGTCAAAATTCAGAAGTAAAGAATCAGAGGTAATAATTTTGCCTATAACACATTGCTTTAGGGTACACAGGATAACAATGTTATGCAACAATGTTATGATCGATCATATTGTTCCTTAGTGTAGTGCATAATATTTAATTCTCACTCCTTAAATGATCCCTTGAGGGGGTGAAATTTTTAACCATCCGGGGCCATGTTTGCATTTTTACGTGCATTTCTTGAGCAACATATTAGCAACATGTTGCAATGTTAATAACAGACAATAACACTAATTAGTTACTTTAGAAAAGCAGAAAGGAAAACATTTGTAAGAACAATGTTCCAAAATTGTAGGAAATGTGGTGAAGAATTATGAGCTCAGGGACGTGGTGGCGCTGCGGGCTAAACCGCAGAAGCCTGTGCTGCAGGGTCAGAAGACCAAGCAGTCATAAGATCGAATCCACGCGACGGAGTGAGCGCCCGTCGCCTGTCCCAGCTCCCGCCAACCTAGCAGTTCGAAAGCATGCAAATGCGAGTAGATAAATAGGGACCACTTCGGTGGGAAGGTAAACAACGTTCCGTGTCTAAATCACACTGGCCATGTGACCACGGAAAGATTGTCTTTGGACAAACACTGGCTCTATGGCTTGAAGAGCGGGATGAGCGCCGCCCCCTAAAGTCGGACACGACTGGACAAAAATTGTCAAGGGGAACCTTTACCTTTACCTTAGCTTCAGCCCAAGATATAGTGACACAATTCCCTACACTATTCTTCTGAATTCTCCTGTCACCAATCTTTACCAGCTCAGTGCTGGCACATAACATCTTCAGAAAACTGCTGGCCCCAGGACAAACCGCAGATGGCTAGCCTAGGTACTTTTCCTAGCCATCTGAAGATTTACTGTCTGTTCACCATTTAAATGTCATAAATTACCTATGCACGTAATTTAAAATGGTGGCTCTCAAATCCCACCAGCTTAGCCATGTTCCCATCACCAACTACAGCTAGAAGTACAGTGCCTCCTGCTGCAAATAAAAATGTATATTGCATTTTTAAAAATAAGGTTTGAACAGCAGTCTAAAGCCTTTGCAAAACAATTATCCAGCTCTCCAGCTGAGCCTAGAAGCAAGATCACTCTGAACAATAACACAAAGGATTTTTTTTTTCATGGCTGACACTCAAGCTATGGGAGAGAATTGAAAATGTATTGAAACAATTGGTAAAACATTGCAATATGTAGTATGGTCAGAAATGGTGTTTCCGGAACCTGTAACTTGCTTTCCTTATTGTGTTAATTCCCGTGCTTTGCTCTTTCTGTGAATTGCTATCCTTGAAATTACAGGCAGTGCAGACCATTGGATTCTAACTCTCTTAGTCAAAATAACTGCACTTATCATCATAATGGCAGCTTGCCATTACAGTTATTTTATGTTACAGTAGGGGCAAAAGCAATAGAAACTCCTATTTAAAAAATTCTGCTGGTACATCAGGTCACTATCACTTGCAAGTCCTGGGAAAGAGAATGTTTGAACGGAAATTGTAAACAACTGAGAGAAATTTAAATATAGGGAGGCAGGGGACATACACAGATTACCATCATAATTGCAACACAATACACGCACTGGATGCCAACAACAATCATATAGCAGTAGCAGAAACAGCTGCAGCTGATGAGGACAACATGGATTTTCCTCCATAAATTCAAACTGGCTTGGTTGACACTTAGAATAATTTTCAGTGTGTGCCATTCATAATATGCTTAAAAGCTAAGAAAGTCATTTACTTTAAAGCATTCTTACTTTTTAAAATGTTGGTATTTTAGAGATATATTCTCTGCTGTTACAATGTATCTTGTATATAATTGCTTTGTCACATCTTATGTCCAATCCGTTGATTATTAACAGTAGTGCACATATTTAAGGTTGATAAAAATATACAAAAGCTAGAAACTTACTGGAACTCACTGGTCACCAGTAAGTTCAATTTCCAATACTTATGACACTATTTTTCTTCAAAATCAAATCACACAGCATGCATGCATTTTTCAGAGCCATATGTAAAGCCATCAGCAAAGGGCCAGATCTGTGTTGAAGGGTATTCAACCCAACAATGCTTAGTCTGTTGTTGTTTAAATAAAATACTAACTCTGCTTTTCCCAACTTAGCACTTTCCAAGTGTATTGGCCCACAGCTCCAATAATCTCCAGCAGTGGCAGTGGCAGTGGATGATGGGAGCTGTAGTCCGTCATCTCTGGAAGGAGACAATTTGGGAGTGGCTTTAAAACATGCAAAACAGGTTAGCTTGGCACTGAGTCAGAGCAAAAATCAGCATCTACCATATTCAAAGTGACCCAGAAAAATATCAGGGGACAATTCAGTCTTTTTCTCCCCAGTGCTCTCCTTCCTCCTTGTATTGCTTTTCCCCCTCACCCTCTCTCTCTCTCTCAGGCTCTTTAACCAGAGGGTAATAAAAATAAGTTTTTCCAGCTCTAAAGCTCAAGATTCATATGTAATTCTAGCACTGTAAGGGCCAGAGCATGGCAAAGTTACTTTTTTCTACTATATTTCATACAATCTCCCCAGTTGGCATGGCTAGCAAGGCTGGAGAATTATACACAGTAATAGAATTATACACAAAGAGACTTGTAACATCTTAGTACAATCACACAGCAGTTTTTCAGCTCCGACATTTCTTAAAAATGAACACACACATATAAGATTAGGAAGCAATTGTCTTAATATATTTTAATGATCTACGACCTTACAGCAAAAGCATTACAGTTTCTTAATATTTGTTTCTTTAGCAGTTTAAAAAAGCTTAACCAGAATGAAGAGGTGAAATCCAAGTTGTCTGATGCTATCGATACCATACAAAGTGAAGACAGTGGACTGCCATGGGAAACCAGTTCAAGTAGATGTTCTACTTCCCTGGCCTCAGAGACTAGCGCTACATCTGGTATTTACAGCATGGAAAACTCATACACATTTCCAATGGATGATGGAAAGACCACCCAGAAAATAAGAAATAACTCTCCAGACCAGGCACCTTTGTCCCCCGATGAGAACATAGACCCAGTGAGTAAAAAATATGACGTTTCCAGCAGGCCCGTGCAAACCAAGGTTTCAGGAGCAGAATTAGATCCTGCTGATCCTCAGTCATGGCCTTTTCAAGTACAACCTTCAAAAATTAAAGACTATTTAGTACAAATCACACAGGAAGTTGAGACTTCAGTGCCAGAGGAAAAAGAAAATGCTTTGATGAGAAAGGGGGAGCTGCCTCTCAAAGGAACAGTAAGGGCCAGAATTCAGCAAATCACAGCAGTTTTGGAAGAGAGAAATAAAAAGATTTTCCGGAGGATAAACCAAAAAGATGTGCCTCCTCCTTCAGATGTAATCAGGAAGCCAAGAGAGCAACTCAAAGTATTCCCCAGGCATGGCATCTCTGTTTCTTTAAGACATATTGAACGAGATCCCCCAGATAAACATAGGAAGAAGGAAATTCTTTCTTATAACCTCAGGCACGTGGAGACCAATATTTCAAAGTCTGGCTATAACAAAGACGAGAAGCGAGTGCGACAATCTTTTCCAACTGAAACTGTAAGTAATACTTCAGAAAGGTTACCAACAATTTCATCTCTCCAGGCTAACAAAGCAAGGAAGCCAGAGTCCAAATTACATTCACCTGGAGCTCAAACTTCAGCTCCAGAAAAAGCAATCTTCACTCTTCCAAATCGTCACAAGAAAATGGAGGAAGAAGAAAAGCAGCCTCTTCTTGATGGGACAGCCATTGTCATGCCAAAAAAGTCATTCAATCTCATTGCGGAAATAGAGGAACAGAACATGCAGAATTATTCATCAGTGACTAAAGAGGTTATTGATATAGGAGAAGCATCAAAGGCTCTACCAGAAAGGGAGACAGCTCAGTTTCATCTGCCTGTTTCTGCTGAACCACCTTCTTCCCCTCAACAAGAAGAAAAGCCTGATACAACTGTTACTGTGATATCAGAACCAGCCACTCATGATGGGCTTTATCTCAATAATACTGCAGCTGCACAGCCTGAGTCAGAGCAATCTGTTTTACCTGATGCTAGAAATCAAGATTCCGAATTTGCAGTTCCTTCACAACTGGAGATCAAAGATGTAGCCTTGTTGCATTCTGCTGAAGAAACGGGCAAACAAAACATTCCTCTTGACTCACCTGGAACTGCAGGGTCTTTGTATGAACATGAAGAATTGCTATCTCCTGCTGACGCAGCCAAAAAAGAGGAGCTAGAATTAAGCTACTCAAAAAAAGAAGAGGGACAAGAACAGCTGTCTATGCTTTTACAAGCAGAGAGAGAACCTGTGCACTCAGTGAAAGAACCAGAAGTTGGGGAAACGGGCATCATCCCTGATTTAGCTGTTAGCAGAACCGAAACACAGGAATCCCAGAGCAATTTGAATCAAACTGCAGAAGAGCACCTGCGACTTCCACAGCCCTCATATTTAATGGATGAAGTGCAGAAGAAAGAAAACAAGCACCTGGAAACAGATGTGACAGAGCAAGTCACTCAGGCAGCGAGACCTGTGCTCACAACACTAGAAGCAGGACAGGCAGATGTGTCATCTTCAAAAGGCAAAGCAGAGAAGGCGACAGCACTTGTGGAGAGTTCCGAGGTACCACCATCTGTTTCTGATACACACAGAGAAGAAATCGACCAACTCTTTGCAGCAGTTTCACAGTCAGAAAGCCAGCACCCCATTATCTCTGAAACTACAAAGGCACCAGAGGTATCAGATCGTGCAGAGCTGTCAGTTTTCAAAGATGAAGAAGTAGGCTCATACTCTGCAGCTGAAACACCGGATTCATCTGAGCAGCTGCCATCTAGTTCATCTCATCTCGTTGAAAATAAGGAAAAGCAGGACATTCTGCCACCTTCACTAGTAATAGCAACATCATTGTCAGAACAGCTGAAGTCTATTTTACCATGTGCTGCTGAGACAGTGGAGAAACAAGGCCACATCCCTTATTCTCCTGAGACAGTTCCTGTCATGGCAGAACCAACAGAGAAGCCAGGCCATGTCCCCTATTGTCCTGAGACAGTTCATGTGATGGTAGAACAAGGCCCTTTGTCTTATTCTCCTGAGACAGTTCCTGTCATGGCAGAACCAACAGAGAAGCCAGGCCATGTCCCCTATTGTCCTGAGACAGTTCATGTGATGGTAGAACAAGGCCCTTTGTCTTATTCTCCTGAGACAGTTCCTGTCATGGCAGAACCAACAGAGAAGCCAGGCCATGTCCCCTATTGTCCTGAGACAGTTCATGTGATGGTAGAACAAGGCCCTTTGTCTTATTCTCCTGAGACAGTTCCTGTCATGGCAGAACCAACAGAGAAGCCAGGCCATGTCCCCTATTGTCCTGAGACAGTTCATGTGATGGTAGAACAAGGCCCTTTGTCTTATTCTCCTGAGACAGTTCCTGTCATGGCAGAACCAACAGAGAAACAAGACCTTCTACCATATTCTCTAGAGACGGCAACAGTTGTATCAGAACAAACAGAGAAACAAGGCCCTCAGCCTTGTTCTCCAGAAACAGCTCCTGTCATGACAGAGCCAACAGAGAAAGAAGGCCCTCTATCCTATTCTCCTGAGACAGCATCACTTGTGACAGAACCAACAGAGAAGCCAGGCCATGTCCCCTATTCTCCTGAGACAGTTCATGTGATGGTAGAACAAGGTCCTTTGTCTTATTCTCCTGAGACAGTTCCTGTCATGGCAGAACCAATGAAGGAACAAGGCCCTCTACCTTATTCTCCAGAGCCAGCACCAGTTGTAACAGAACCAATGGAGAAACAAGGCCTTCTACCCTTTTGTCCTGAGACAGCTCCTGTCACGGCAGAACCAACGGAGAAACAAGACCTTCTACCATATTCTCTAGAGACGGCAACAGTTGTATCAGAACAAACAGAGAAACAAGGCCCTCAGCCTTGTTCTCCAGAAACAGCTCCTGTCATGACAGAGCCAACAGAGAAAGAAGGCCCTCTATCCTATTCTCCTGAGACAGCATCACTTGTGACAGAACCAACAGAGAAGCCAGGCCATGTCCCCTATTCTCCTGAGACAGTTCATGTGATGGTAGAACAAGGTCCTTTGTCTTATTCTCCTGAGACTGTTCCTGTCATGGCAGAACCAATGGAGAAACAAGGCCTTCTACCCTTTTGTCCTGAGACAGCTCCTGTCATGGCAGAGCCAACAGAGAAAGAAGGCCCTCTATCCTATTCCCCTGAGACAGCATCACTTGTGACAGAACCAACAGAGAAGCCAGGCCATGTGCCCTATTCTCCTGAGACAGTTCATGTGATCGTAGAACAAGGTCCTTTGACTTATTCTCCTGAGACAGCTTCTGTCCTGGCAGAACCAATGAAGAAGCAAGGCCCTCTACCTGAGTCTCTTGAGACAGCTCCTGATGTATCAGAAGCAACAGAGAAACAAGGTCATCTATGTTATGTTCCTCAGACAGCTCCTGTGTTAGAAGAAACATTGGTTGTTATCCAAAATGATGAAGTCATAAAAGGAGGAATCCAGCCTGTGTTGCCCACAGAAGTTATCTCAGAAGAAGTGTCTCTGTCAAGGGAGCCAGATGTTGCCACAGAGAGAAAAACAGTGCCGGTTGTTTCACCTCTGTCTCCTGCAAAACATCCAAGTGATGCATCCGTGCCATCTCAAGAAGAAGTGAAGTCAGAAAGCCAACTCTGTCCACCTATAAATGGAAAGCTAAGCCCTGTGGATGAAGAGGAATCCCATTCGATCATATACTCAGGCCTGCAAAAACATCAATTCCCTTCACTTGCAACAACCTTATTTGGGCTGGATCATTCAGCTGAATCTGAATCAAGCAAGCAAAGTATGAAAAGAGATTCCTCTGTACTTTCACAATTAGCAGAAGCTACTACACTACCTCCTCTTGATGAAGCAGATAAAAAAGTTATAAATCTTGACAAGCCAGAGCTTTTGAATACAGATTCACTGCACCCTGCTTATGTGCTGGAAGAACAAGAGAAGGCACAGATGGCTGTTGAAGAAACTACTGAGCAGCTATCACATTCAAGTTTATCAACAGAAGCAGATATATTGCACCCAGCTGAAGAAACAAAGATAAATGGGATCCTGCCTCATTTGCCTGCAACTGTGGAAGACTTATGCCGGCCAGTTCATTTGGTGGAAACACAAGAGGATCAATATTTTTCAAAAGGAACTGCAGTCCTAGATTCTGAAATAGAGAAATGTGATTCTACAGAAACACAATCAAAAGATAGCACAAGGCAAGCTATTCAGGTTGGAATGCCAGAGTTTGAGGCAGAGTATCAAAATGTCTCTGTATCAGCAGCTACATCAGGAAAACCTATGGATGAGTCTTTCCCATTTGCAAGTACAGAAAGAGAAGACCTTCTGATACATAGGTCTGCGATTACAGAATTGGTAAGTGAACAACCTGCTTCATCAGAAAGAGAGCGGGAAGACATTAAGCTTTACTCAGTTATAAGTCCAGCATCAAAAGCTGAGTGTCCTGTTGATGGTCTAGAGACACAGGACAGGCAGGACTTTTCTTGTGATGCATTAAATGAGGCATCTGAACCATATCCATTAATTTCATCATTGGTTCCCGATCAAATAAGAGATCAGGGAGTATTGACAGAATCCCAATTAATGTCACCACCAAACTCAGAGCAGTCAGTCTTCACTTCATCAGACGTTAGGGGCAAAGATGAGAAACAAGAAAATCAGTTTCCTATAAGTCCAAAAATGGAAGAAGCACAGTCTTTTACAAGTCTCCTTATTGGTAAAGCTAGAACAGAGCTACCTTATTCTATCATGGCCTCAGAGGCTGTGCAAGAGCTATCAAGGTCCATTCCAGAAGATGTTGTTTCCAGAGATGCAAATGATATGGCTCCTCAATCCTCACTGTTATCTGCAGTCCAACTTTCTGATAAAATTATTTCACCCTATGCTGCTGCTGAAGGAGAAAAAGAAGAGCAGACTCCTTTGCTTTTGAATGAAGAGCTAAAGTCAACCAAAGAGATCAGGAATCAAGACAGTCATCTGTCTTTACCATCCATGGTACCACCAGAATCCCAAGAGCAGGAACCATTGTATTATGAGGAAGAAGGTAGGAAGCAAGAAAGGACAAAACTGGAAACAGAAATTTCAAAGGAGCAAGATGTTGCACAAGAATCATCTATCCTGCAACAGGAGCTGGAACACCTAAATTTACTGCAACCAGCAAAGGAATCACAGAGACAAAGCATTCAGCCTTACCCTTCTGCAGCTGCACAAGATTCATGCCAGCCAATTGATACAAGAACAGAACAACAGCAAGATTCCTTGTCTGAAACAACAGTAGTTGAAACTGCAGCTGCTGAGTCATCAGAATCAATATGTGAAGGAAAGGTAGAAGAAATTCAGGCAGTATGGTTTGATAGTGCTCAGTTAGAACATAAACCAGCTGTTTTGTCAGCAGAGGAAAGCGGAAATGCCTCCAATCCACTCATAGCTGCAGCATTGGACCTGGAACATTTGGATTCATCATATTCCATAGAAACACCGTTCTTTTTACCCGAGGCACAAAATCAGCCCTTAGAGCAGAAGCCATCAGTCTCCCCTCTTCTCATGAAAAAAATGGAGGAACAAGAAGTAAGTTCACACCCATCAGACGTCTCAGCAGCAACTGCATTAAGCCAGTCCACCTCTGCTCTGGTGGGTGCACCTGAAGAAGAAGAAAAACGTAAGCCTCATCCTCACTCCCCTGAAGTAGAAGACATGGTGTCCCTTGCTGCATTCCTCATTTCAGAGGCAAACACAATCTGTACATCTTCTCCTCTGACCACAGAGAAAGAAAACCTAGACACTCAGACTCCTTTTGCGGAAGCTGGTTTGTTGACAAAAAGATCAGGAAGTGCTTTTACTGCTCCTTCTGAGATAAGTAAAACTGTTGAGGAAAAAACTGAGTCTCCCACAACACCTTTTGAGTCAGAACAGTTTGCTCACAAGCCTGAAGCAGATGCTACTTCAAGATGTTTTGTTCAGGATAGAACGGACATCATCTCTGATATGCCTGCACTGCCTCCTAGTTTCATCCAGAATGAGTTTTCCAAAGCTATTGTATCAGAGTCCATAAATGACACTCATGTACACAATTTTCATTCCTCAGTGAGCTATATAGCCTCTGAGACAATGGCCAACAAGGATGTAATTCATGCTGAAGATCTTGCAAAGACAGAAGTAGAAAAATGTTTTCCTCATGCAGAGGAAACTTTTAAAAAAGAAAAGAAGAGTAGAGACCATGAAGACTTGAAAGAATTCATACTTGCTCCTGAAGTCAGTCAAGCAAAAGAAAAGGTTGATATTTCTGAAAGTTATGAGGTAGTAAGTATTGATGTTTCTCCATTCATTTCTTCTGTTGGTATGGAAGAAGACACAAGTGCACGAGAGAAATTAGAATACTTGGAAATAGCTTCATCGCTGAGAGCAAAACCAGTGGATGATGCTGGAGATGTGACCATTGACAATGAACCTTCAGTGTGTAAACCAAGTGGAAAAACCCTAGAAGGCTTAAAAGCAGAGGATCATGAATATAAGGAAAAGGAATCAAAGGTGTGCATTGGAAAAAGTGGTGTCCAGGAAAGTATAGAAATCAATTTGGATGTGCCTGTCGATCTGGAAAACCAAGGTGGTGATATTTCGCAACCCACCAGTACTGATTACACTGAAAAGTTTATCTTGATTGATGACACTTCTGTCACCCAGACGGGAGAAGAGAAGTCTGTTGAGGAAGTACAGAGTTCATCTGAGATTAAAAATGAAAAGCTGGAGGAAATTCCATCTTCAGCAGCAGGATCAGAAAATATTATGGACTTTTCTCTGTTAGAAAGAAGTGATGCCTTCCAAGGAGTGGCAAAGGAAAAAAATGTAGTAGTTGCACATGAAGATGCTTCAGAGGAATCAGATAAGGATAAAATAGTTGATACTGTTAGGGAAAATGGTAAAAAAACAGAGGATGAATTAAACGTAGCAGATGCTAGTATACCCTTACCTAGCCCCAAAGAAGATGAATTACCTCAGTCTTTCTTAATTCCCTTGCCAGCTACTACAGCAAAATCTGATGATCTAGAGGTGCCACCTGCTTTGGTTTTTTTATATAATGATTTCTACAAAGAAGCAGCAGGAGAATCTAAAGATGAGAGATCCACATGTCCATCAGATGTGGGAACTGTTTATACTGATCTTCCTACTCATATTGGAGACCATGCTTCAGATGATCAAGCCAGTATATTACCTGAAAAGGACATTTCTGAAGGTCATACTCCAAGCAGTCTGAAAGAAACACAGGATGAACTAGAAGACCAGCCTATTAATGAACAAGCTTTAAGTCAAAGTGTGTATGAAAGAAATAAGGAGGGTCATGAGTTTGATCACGTTCTAACTGATACACATGCTCAAACAGAAGTCTTGGAACCATCAAAAATTGGGGAGGATCTTAGAGATACAGTGACAGACAGGCCAGCTGAGATTGTGAGTGACATAACAGTTGGGATTTGCAAGCCAACACATGCAATTCCTTTTGGAAGTGGACTGTTCAGGTCAGGTGCAAGCAGTGATAATAGCAGTCAACAGAGAGAAGAATCTGTGACTGAAGAAACAGGCCATGTATCACCAGAGGAAACAAGTGATGAAGAGTCCAGTCCGATACTTGATTATGCAGCATCTGTCTATCAAAATGAAGCATCTGTGCCAGATGAACCAAGGGATGCTGCTTTTGCAGTTGGTCCAAACCAACTGTCCAAAGTAATGGAAGTTAATGATATTGATAGTGATGTCATTAGAAAACCTGCTGAAGAAAGCACACAGCATCTTGAAGCATATCAGGATGTTAGCACTCAGTGGCAAAGTGAAGGACAACAGGAAAACAAGTTAGTTTCAGCCCTTCAGCCCATGTCACAAGATGTACAGGCTTTAGACCATGAGCATCTTCCGTGTTGGGGAGCTGAGGGGCTAATGCCTGAAAAAAGAGTTGAAGAAGTAATAGGTGGTGACCTGATGGAGCACAGCACAGAAATAGCAGACCAACTAGCACCAGATGCAGATTATGACAGATCTTTCGGGGAACTGGATTACTCTCTTTTGTCACATGAATTTGATACCCATCCTTTATACTCAATAAAAGAGGAAGAATACAGTGACATTGGTGAAGATCTAGCTGAGCTCATGGACTATGAAATGGTGAGCCAAAATGATGTTTTTCAGGCAGAAACATCCTCAGAAGCAGCCTGCGAAGAACTGCTGTTTGATGACAGAAAATCCTTAGACCACATTAGTGATAGTTATGAATTTGTGAATGAACAAGAGGCAAGCATATATACAGAAGAAGAGGCATTGGAGTTGATAGAGCATGATAAGCTACCTAGAAATGTTCCAGAAAGTGAGATCTTTCAGAAGGAAACAGAGCAGGCACAACTGGATGCTTACTGCTACCAATGTAAATGTCCCATCTCTGCTGAAGACAAGCTTTTTGAGGAGCATAAGGGACACGACGTGACAGACTTGGATACAGCTGTAAAAGTTTTAAAGGTAAGCAAGTAGCATTTTGGTACTACTGGCTTGTGTCTTCATTGACACTTGTATTTAATGAAAGATGCTTTACTGGAATATGTCATATATGCATTACAGGATTGGGGAAGCAAATAATTTTTGGTGATTTAACATAGAAAATTTCTGTTGTACTCACTTCCCTTTACAGCTGTTTCAGGGGAAGAGCACTTCTGCTTGAAACACATCAAGTGCAGCATTCACGTGCAACATGTTTTTGCAAATAAACTTTAAAAAATACCTTGAGATGAACCGACAGGTGCCCAATTGAACATGCATCTCCCCTAGAGTATATTTGATCTGTTAGGGTTGCAGCTTCCCATTCCTTGATATCTCAGAGCTGAAAACTTGAGACCTGGGGTAGATCTCAGGGGCAGATACTTGTGATGTCACATAATTGAGGCAGGCAAATTTTTGGAGGAAGGCTCAGTGAGTTAGGTTTCTGCGTGGAGGCAGAGGTTGGGAATTCAGTTCCTCACTGTGCATTTCAGGAGAAGGGCCAGCCTTCTACTTCACACAGTTTTGCCTCAGCTTTTTTCCCGCCAAAACAGGTTGCCTCAGAGCTCCCTAATCTAGTCCCCAGTTGGCACGTTCTTCCACTAGCGCACCTCCCCGTGAGGTACGCCTAGAAGATTACCTACGCGCCCTCAGATTGTCCCTGACTAGACCCCCCTTGCTCTGGGCACACTTGCCAAGGCTTTGCTGTACCACTGGACAACTGGACCAGTCGTATCCCACACGCTGGACACCAATCAATGTGACAACCCCAGACCTACTGGGATATGCCACAGTTTCACTAAGCTGCCACCAACCATTCCCTATAAGAAGTCACACAGACCAGGGATGGATTTTTAACAAATAAAAGAACAAGGTTTATTTACATAACACACAGGGAAAATAAAATGATCAAATGAATAAGATACAGTAACGTGGCTTAGTCTCAATCATACATACACTAGTTTGGTTCACACAGAACGCATTTAACTAAAGCACAGACCCTGAACCTATCAGTTCTGGCTAACCCTACAGACACCTGAACCTATCAGGTTGGTACTGACTGACACACAGTAGTACCCTGTCTGACACACAGACTCCCACTCAAGCTTCTTCTCTCAGCTCTTCTCCAGCTTCTTCCTTACTTCTCCACACAAGCTCCACATATATATACAGTACAGCCCCTCCTCCTGATGTCCCGCCTTCCACTCCCCATAGGCTGGAACTTTCCCTCCAAACCCATGACAGACAGGTAACATCAGTGCTGTATGTAACACTCTCTACCTAGAAAACCCTGAAAAGGCTTGCTATAAGTAAGAACTGACTTGACAGCACACATTATTATTAGGGAGCGCAATATTTAGACCCCAAGTTTATAAACAGTGTATGCGATAGTAGTGGTGGGGACTGAGTGAGATGGGAAACAGGACAGTCATGAAAGTGATAGTGGCATGGATCATAAAGGTATAGAACGTCAGTGTGGTGACTACATAAGCATCCTGTTAATAAACATAGAAAGCAATTTCGTTGGCTGGTAGTCATTCGTTAGGCTGTTGTCTTTGAATTGTAAATGAAAATTATGCCTCTCTTTTTTTAAAAAAGGAAAGAGTGGCTTATACTGAAAGCAACATTTTTGCCAAAAAAAACACAACTTTTATGCTATGCACAAAACCGTGGAGAAAAAAAGCTTGTTAATATATATGTCCCAGATCTTATTTTAGCACATTGTTTAAACACACACACACACACACTTTGAGATGTTTAAAACCTGTTGTCATCATTGTATGCTAAACAAAGTTGTTGGGAATGCAGCTTGCTAAAATTGTTATCCTTACTACATTTTTTAGTACTGAAAGTAAACAGCAATACTTTTGGCAGCAACAAAACATTTTGCTGAATTATAAATTTTTTGTGCAGTAAGTATTGGTATTCAAGAATTATTAGTAATCTTTAGCTCTAAAAGGAAACCTTTTTACTCTTGAGCTACTCATTGCATTATAATTATCACAGCAATAGTCTGATTGTGTCAGTATAGGATACAGTCTCCAGCTAATCTTGGAGACTGGAAGCAGGGTGTAAAATAGTAAAACTCCTTCCATGACTATAACATATGGGCAAAGGCCATGGAATTTCCCATGAATTAGACTAATTATTGAAACTCTGCCCTCTCATGCATTATAGCCATGGAAGCTTTTTTAATTTGGGGTCCTCAAATGATGTCCCAGATGAGGTAAACATTCCATCCTTATGGTAAGATGCTGGCCACAGAGACTGGCGAAACGTTAGGAAGAACCACCTTCAGAACACGGCCAAGAAGCCCGAAAAACCCACAACAACCATTAGATCCTGGCCGTGAAAGCCTTCGCAAATACATTCCATCCTTATCTCATGTTAGGGACTTATCTTTCTTTTCTTTTTTGGACTCCAACTCTCACAATCCTCCAGGAATTCCCCAGGCAGAAATCTGGGAGTTCCTGCCTACAGATCCACAGCTACAGACACCTTCATTTCACTCACCTGAACCAGATTCCAGCCTTATTTCCTGTTGTGCCGTGAAAGCCTTCGCAAATACATTCCATCCTTATCTCATGTTAGGGACTTATCTTTCTTTTCTTTTTTGGACTCCAACTCTCACAATCCTCCAGGAATTCCCCAGGCAGAAATCTGGGAGTTCCTGCCTACAGATCCACAGCTACAGACACCTTCATTTCACTCACCTGAACCAGATTCCAGCCTTATTTCCTGTTGTGGCTTTATAAAAAAGGGGAGATTGGGTTGTGGTGTTTCTTGGGAGCAGTAGTTTCGCTGCGCATTAGGGTCTATATAGTGTTTCTCCTAAAGAACCATAACTCCTAGAAAGCATCATGGCAACTTTCCTTTTTTGTATATTCACAAACAAGGCCTCATATCTAGGCTCTAGTCTAGATGAGGAAATAGAGATGTCTATAGGTGTGGGGTTTGGGCTGGAACTCCTAGAATTCTTGGAGAATTTTGGGGCTTTGAGTCAAAAGGAAAAAAAATGATATATCTCTCCCAGATATTTTTGTTGTTGTTATTTAGTCTTGTCTGACTCTTTGTGACCCTATGGACCACCATGGACCAGAGCACACCAGGCCCCGTCTTCCACTGCCTCCCGGAGTTGAGTCAAATTCATGTTGGTAGCTTCCTCCTTACCTTGTCATTATTTTTTCTTACTTTTTCCCGGTAGAGATAAGCAACTCTGCTTCAAGAGTTTTGTGCCTGGTACCACAGTAATTTGGCTGCTTGGGTGCTCTGCACCTTAACATGGGTGGCTGATGGTAGTGCCCCTTGCTACTCCTTCACTGCAGGTATCAATATGTATTGGGATAGTCTAGATAGTAGATGTTCCAACTCCACCTTGGATTTTTGGTTAGGATCTGCTTCCCTTCTAGAAATATTCAACAAAATCTAGACAGGCTTCAAGAAAAACAGATACTTGTTGAATTAGAAACAAAATCAAAGCACTACTGGGTCAATATGTGATAGAGAAGGGGATCTGTCTTCTTTCTAATTTTTCTGCTCCAAGGATTTCAAAGTGCAAGTATAATTGGGATTGACCACTGACAAATACTGGAAACCATTCCTCTGTATGTTTCCTGTGTGCCTATAATGATAAGGACAACACACAATGCAACGTGCAGCTTTGCCAACTGGACTAATGGCGATGACAATGGTAAAATGTCACCACCACAGTAACAAATAATGCAATAAGTTACTTTTCGAAAGTAACAGCTCAAGTTCTCCATAAAACTTAACAAAGATTTGAAAACCCTTGAAAACATAGAAAGGTAGCTGGTGCCCCAAAGATATCAGATGAGGCAGCAGGTGAGTCTTTCTGGGCAAAACATTGCTAGGGTGCAGGTGCCCTTGATTTCCCTGCACTCTCCTTCTTTTCAGATGACAGAAGCAGGAGAAGGAAAGCCACTGTAGAAAATATATGTTCATTTCACAGACTGATTTAGGAATGTATGTTCCACCATGGATCCAGGTCTCTGGTTCTCTATAATGCTCTAAGTGTAAGCACCAGGACTTTGCATTTGATTCAGAAATGTACCAGGAATGAGTGATAATTTTAAAGCACAAATAGTTTTCCAAGCACCTGGTTCTAGTTACTTTTATTTATTATTTACCATGTTTATATGTTTTACCATATTTATATGTTGCCTAGCAACACATGTTCTTGATGCGGCTTACAGCAAAAATAAACAAGAATTTGACACTAAAGGAGACCATAAATCCACACATACACTCACGATCTAGCACCAGATGGAAGCAATAAAACAAAGCTCAAGGAGCAGCAGCATTGTGCTGAAATTCATTGGGCAGCCTTGGAGCTGTCTTTTCCACCAGTGCAGTTTCCAAACCCATTTCCAAAGCTGTGTCAGGTACAATGCATTGCGGTTGTCTTCTGGAGCACTTTCTTCTATCTGGAGTGTGGAGCACTTTGGAAAGGCTAGCTCTGTCCGGGAGCTTCAGAAGGGAGAAGATTGTTCATCCCACAGATACCGCTTATGCCTCTAGTCACAAAGCTAGACCAATAAGTATTTGATTCAGGAATGAATATTGACAAAAACAATTCTGTGCATCTTTTCAGCATTCACAGCGCTTAATGCACATTATCTCAGTACCTAATTCTTTCAAAGCTCTGTAAGGCATGCCAGCATTCCTATCTCCCCATTGCAGTCAATGCAGGGAAAGAGGCTAAGAAGATAACATGACGGTGGGGAAACTGTCTTTCTAGATATTCCTGGACTCCAGCTGTCAACCAGGAGACATAAAATGTGCTTCCCTGAAGAATATGAACAATGTGGACACATTTGGGTGTCCCTTGGGCAGCAATAGTAGCCTGTTAATAGACCCTTCCACTCTGGAAGCACTTTTGATGGCTTCTGATACAGGAGAAGATTCTCCAGCCAGCGTGGACCATGACCAGGAATGATGGCTCTTGTAGTCTGGCAGCATCTAGGGGAGTAGTGTAAGTTCCAGTCAATGACATGATGGCTTGCTATCTGGACTGAGACAAAATATGAACCAAAGGTACCCCAGCTGACAATCCTAAACTGATTTTTGAAAAGTTACTTTTGGGAACTACAGCTCCTCAAATTCACAGTGAAAATAGTGGATGTGGGGAGTTTTAACCCGCAAAGTAACTTTTGCAAGCTGAAGCAACTGGAATTCATGTAATGCCTTAAAGGAGATCAAGTTTTAAGTTCTTAAGTAGAGACCCCACTGTAATGCCTTAAAGGAGATCAAGTTTTATTTTCCATTTGCTTTCACAGACTGCAGCTCACTCCGCTAGGTCTGATAAATGGGATATTGCAATCCATGAAGACCAAAACAGAGCAAAACTTGTTAATCTTAATGGACCACAAACCTTTTTTTTTGTTTTTGCTGTGATACACTAACACATCTACCCACCCTTAATTTCCCCTCCAAATCTGTTCCTAAACCTTTCACTCCACCAGATTTCTAACTTGCGCTTCCATACCCTGTGCTCAGATTTTTCTATGTAGCTAAAGGAGAAGATAAAGCAAAGCTGGAGATTAGCATCTGTAAACCACAACATGTCTGCACCAATCTGCAACAGTTGCATGGAGTGTTTGCATAAAATATACAGAAGAGTTTTTAAAAAAACAACAACCCTACCCTGAAACATTCTGTATTTCCCAGGTGAATGTGTATTTTATGGAGCATGGTGTAATTTTTAAAAATAGGCCCTTTTGAAAAAGTTAAACCCAGTTAACTGATGTCCATTACAAAATTCCCCTTGACTTTTTAATAGAGCTTGTTCCTTTCACTGCATACTGAGGTTTCCAACACTGGCAAGTGCTATGCAGTTACTAAGAATATCAAGACGTCATATGCCTCGATGTTATCCACAGCCTGGTTTCTTGAAAGTCAACGGACTTGTGTGTGTCTCATGATATCACCCTTTGGCACAGTGACTTTGAGAGAAAGCCAAATATGAATTCCAGCTATGCACTGCCTCATGAGACAACGTTTAACGAGCCAGGGTTGCTCTCGTCGTTATGCCATTTCTTTCTTGTTTCTGCTATTTCCATGTTACTGTGTTCTTTCAGGAGGTGCTAATAGAATACTCACTGGTTCTGCCGTCTTTAGCACTACAGTATGGAAAGTACAATGACTTCTATGAAAGGGGTTATTTTTTGAAATTATATCTTGCTCCATAAAATAAACATTTGTTTGGGAAGCCCAGAACGTTTCAGGCTAGTTCCCCCACTCCCTGTATATTTATGTATGTACTTAATGTAAATGTTGCTGATTGGTGCATGTGTTTTATAATTCATAGGTGCTAATGCCAGCCTTGCTTTATCTTTCCTTTTAGTTACACAGAGAAATCTGATTAATGTCAAGAGTGTTTACGAAACACAAACTGCTTTTGAACAGATGGCCAAACATTCCAAAGGAAGGTCAAGGAGAGCTACTAGAATAGAGAGGGTTATAACTCGAGAGTGTTGTCCTCCATTGGTTGATGAATTTCGGCCTCTGCCTTTTCTGTAACAGCAGCAGAAGCTCAGAAAATGCAGGTCAAATAAAAAGAGGGTTGTTAATTGCTTACTAATAATTATTAAATGATTATCTGTGTTGAAACAACTATCATTATCCTTATCAAATAGAACTAAGTTTAGCACACTGCCTGGAAAAGCTGCTTTCAGCACAGGGGTCCAACAGGCTCCTCCTTGCCACTTTTGTGAGGTACATGAGACCTTCTATAATGGTGTCTTGTCTGACGGAGCTGTTTGGTATAGCTCAGTAGGTTGGAGCACTTGACTGCAGAGCTGGGGCTAGAAGTTCAAATTGCCCCTTTGCTTCCAGTAAAGCGACCATCTGGGATCACCTGGAGCATGTATGGCAGTGAGGGTTAAGTGCCCTGCCACCTGTGAGGCCTTGGGCAAGCTGCACGGCCCTGGACTACCAAAAAGCCAAGAACTGTTAAACTATTTCTGAATACTTTGGGCTGCAAATCTATGGGAAGGGTGGCCAAAAAGTGAAACTGATGTGACAGCACTTTAAAAAAATGATATGGTAGAAATTAGAGTTTAATTTGCTCTAAATAGTAATCGACAATAGCACATATGCATAGTTACTATATAAGAAAAAATATTGTGTAAAAGAGTAACTTCTAATAGTATTGTGAAAATGTTTAAAATAAATCATTCAGTGCTTATTGTGTTGTTCATGAGGGTAAATTACTGTATAAGGTTTCCCCCATGAAACAAACTTTTCCTGGGGGAGGGGGAAGGTATGTGACGAATGCCCACGTCACTCATGTCACTCGTAGCCGGAGCTCTTTTCCATGAGCCTATGAGAGGACTGGAGGGGCGGGATCATTCATCAATCAGTTAGTGAGTTAGAGAAGGAGAGTGCGAGGTGTGAAGGAGATAGGTTGAAGATTAAAGAGAGATAGATAAAGAAATAGAGAGAACTGATGTTAATAAAGACAAGCTGGTTAAAGTGAATAAATAAATCAGAGCGGGAAATTTTCAGATGTGGTAATGAATTTTGGAGTGCAGCTGCTCATGTCAGTTGCCATAGCCACACTGTCTACCATGTTTCCAAATCAGAGATGAGAAAATTTATTTTTTTGATAAGTCTCAGATGGGAGACGTGTCAAAAAATTAAATGGGAGGGACTGGGGGCAGTTGTCCAAAAGAAACCAAAACCCCAAACCCACAAAAACAAAACAAAACCCACCAGCTGTATTCAGCCATACCATAAGTATACATGTTGGTGTATTATTTATGTGTACATACATTTACATAAAGATGCACATAATGCTCGTAGCTCACAGCGATGTATTGCTGTCACGATAATTTACCTACCCTCTGCCCCCACCTATTATGAGGTTTGCAATAAAGAGGAACGGGAAAGTAGAGGGAATCTGGATGTTGTCTTTGCTAATTGAAAGTTCCTGGTGTTTTGACCCTGCAGATGCTGGCTATACTAAATAGGGTACCTTTAGTAGTTACTTAGAAGAGGGAATTTCAACAGGTGCAGCTTTTAAGGCAAGCTAGTAATAATTATGTGCCATCAAGTTGGTTCCCATGTGTGACGATCCTTTCCAGGATATTCTAGGTAGACACTACTCAGAGATGGTTTACCACTACCCTCTTTTGGGGTTGCTCTGGGAACATATAATTTGTCCAAGGATACAAAAATGGGCTCTTCTCCAGGGAGCAGAGTGAGGAATAAAAGTCTTGATCTCTGGTTCGGTAGCCAGAGAAGTGAACTCCTTATCTCTGTTGTCTTTTTCATCGGGTCACCTTGCATACAAGTGCTTTGAGAGCAGTCGTGGGTCTTTGGGCTTTCAATTAACAAATCAGCTACTTAATAGATCTCGTCAATTTAAATGTGGACGTGACCAAAAACCTTCGCTGCAGGTGGACCTTTGGAGGGAGCCGTGTTGGCCCTGAGTACAAGGGAGTAATACGACAACAATAAATTTAAATGTGGACGTGACCAAAAACCTTTGGGAATAATACGACAACAATTACTCTTTGTGGCTAGAAGGAAATGCCGTTTTCAGTGCTTCAAGCTGCAACTGGAAAATCGTTTTGTGTGCACCCAAACCAAAGACATTAGGCAGAAATGCTGTTTTAATTTATGTGTGTAAGTTAAATTGTTTAGCTTCCCATAGCAAATTGCGGCTAATGAATGGGGCACCATTCACATGAGGCACTCACCAATTGTGTAACAAGCTTCTGCCTTAAATGCAACCAGCACCTTATTAGTTCATGACAATTTGCTGTGAAGAATTTAATTTACACACCCACAATTTACACACCAACAGCATTCTGGCCATTTAAAAAACCAAACGCCACCTTTCAGCTTCAAATAAAATTTTAGTGCCATCAGTAAATACTGTAAAATGTTGGTGAATATTGCTTTCAAGCAATATAAAGTTTAGGAAAATAGGAAAGACTACAATTTTACTTAATCTTCTGTGGAACATGCTGGTTATGTTAGATTCATCACAGTTATTTTTATATTTTTCTCAATCCTCTAATGTGTTTTAGGTAAAGGTAAAGGTTCCCCTTGACAATTTTTGTCCAGTCGTGTTCGACTCTAGGGGGCGGTGCTCATCCCCGTTTCCAAGCCATAGAGCCAGCTTTTTTGTCCGAAGACAATCTTCCGTGGTCACATGGCCAGTGCGACTTAGACATGGAACACTGTTACCTTCCCACTGAGGTGGTCCCTATTTATCTACTTGCATTTGCATGCTTTCGAACCACTAGGTTGGCAGGACTAATGTACTTTATACAGTATTAAATGTTCCTCAGTTAAGAATGCAACCCTATATTCAATTACCCAGAGTAAGCTCCATAGAACATAGAGGGACTTACTGAGCAATAAACATTTACATGTACAATAGAGCTTGGGATCAAATACAATATGTCAAACAGTGATTACCAGCAGTGAGAATATCAGGATCTATAGCTGTGGGATATTAAGGGACAGTGGATGTGCATTATGACAATGAAACACTGAGAGATAAGATTGCATTTTGAGAGATCTTTTCATGAAAGATTAATTTTTTCTTGAATCTGTTTCTATCATAATAGAAAACTTTCTTTGCATTTCTCATCCCTCTGTTTTGATAGCTATGGACATTTTTACATTTCAGAGTCAGTTGGATGGATTCCAAGACGTTTTGCAAGAAAAATCTATCAAGATTGAAGAGTTTGTCAGTGAAATAGAAGCTCTGTTTAATTCTCTTGAGGTAAGAGCTATTTAAAGAGTTTGTCTGTTAAAGATTTGTGCCATTATAATTGTTCAGCTGGGTGGGCCACAATGTAAACAGTATCTAGTTTTTACGCAAGCCATAATCTTTGATTGTTATTTGTGCACATACTCACAATATAGTGCTGTATAAATGGGTAGGCACTGTCTTGCAAAAGTATTTTAACAAAGGGATAAATCAAATGAACAAAAAGTTACTCAAGACTTAAAGTCAGTTCTCTAGTATTGCAATATACTCAAGAATATTCTCAGTGTCCTTCTAAGAATGTCAAAGAGGAATAGTAGACTAATGAGAAAGTCATCTTTAACACAACATAAAAGTCAGTTTTATGTGAGTTTACAGCATGACATACTCTTTCAATTAGATTCAGGTGGATTAGATTCAGATTATACGCAGATGAAGGATGAGTGAACAACATCAATAATTTAAGATGTGCAGAATATACCATATTACCGACAGAAAGCGTTGAAGACTTCAAACCACTACCGAGAAAGGTGGAAGATGGAAGTGCAAAAGTAGGATTACAATTAGATATTAGGAAGATAAACAAATCATAACTATAGAAGAATTATGTAACTTTTGATGTTGACAATGAAAAAACTGAAAGTGTTAAAAGATTCTCTGTATCTCGGAGTCAGTATCAATTCAAAGGAAGACTGTAGTCAAGAACTCAGAAGAAGAGTGAGACTCAGAAAGGGAACTATGAAGGAACATGAGGAAAAGATCCTCAAGAATAATAATGTTTCGATGGAGACTAAAGCCAAGTTATATTGTGATATTCCCAATTGTTATGTGTAGATGTGAAAACTGGATAGAGGAGAAGGGTGGTAAGAAAAATATTATTCATCCAAAATATTAGTTAAAAGAGGAGAGCTTTATACATACTATGAACTGCCAGAAAGATAAATAAGCAGGTACTTATTCAAATCAACCTCTCTAGAAACAAAGATGACTAAATTGAGGCTATTGTATTTTGGGCATAACATGAGAAAACAAGGCTCATCATAGGAAAAGACAATAATAGTGGCAAAAGCTGAGTGCAGCAGGAAAAGAAGAAGACTGAATAGGAAATAGATAATCCAATAAAGGAAAGCACAACCTTAAGTTTGCAAGACCTGAGCAAGGACAGGACCTTTGGGAGGTTACTAATTTATAGCGTTGCCATAAATCAGAAGTGACTTCACACTACATGGCAACATATTTCCTTTTCCAAGAGGACATCTAGACTGAGCACACTGGAAACAGATGACATCTGACTGTTTGAAACATATGAATCATAAAAAAAGGAGGGAGGTGTGTTGTCCAAGGAGTAAAAACATTAGCTTAGGAGCCGCAAAGGAAATAAGCTTTTTAATGCAAATTCCATCCAGGGGGGCCAAAACAGGCAAGAGGGGGCGCTTCTGCAATTAGAAACAGGTTGACTTAAACAGTGAATGATCTGTAATTACCCACTAAAGTTTCTTGCATTTTCACAGCTTTGAATGTGCTTACTTTTGTTTGTTGTTATGTCAGCAGGAGAAAACAATAGGCACAATTTGCATGTTAATTGTGCTAATATTATAGGTGTGAGGAATGTGTCTGTGGAAATGACTTTTTAATCACCTTCTGATTCATGCAAAATGTAAAGCTGCCCATCTCCTTTGTTTTAGTATTAGGAAAGTTTAGTTACTTAGGATGCTATGCTAGCTTGGTATATTCTAAGAGAGAGCTGGAAGAGAACTGACTGATTGAAGAAGGAAGTGACCATCTTCTCAAGGTGTACAGTGGTGCCTCGCTAGACAGTTACCCTGCATGACAGTTTTTTGCTAGACATTGACTTTTTGCGATCGCTATAGCGATTCGAAAAACAGTGATTCCTTTGGGGGAATTTCGCTGGACAATGGTCCCTGCTTCGCAAACTGATTTTCGCTAGACGACGATTTTGACAGCTCCCTCTGCGCTCGCAAAACAGGTGTTTTCGGGACCTAAGCTTCGCAAGACACCGATTTAAACAGCTGATTGGCGGTTCGCAAAGTGGCTTTCCTATGGTCGATCTTCGCTAGACAATGACGATTCTTCCCCATTGGAACGGAAATGCTTTTCGCTAGACAATGATTTCGCTAAACAGTGATTTCAGTGTATCTTTCTACAGTGAAGAGATGTGCTCCTGGCTTCACCCCTGATCCTGAGTGCCCAGCTGTTGGCAGGAGTCAAGGATGCCTTTGTACATTTAAAACTAGCATGTCAGCTGTTCCTGGACCTAGAGAAGTCTGATGTGGTCATGGGGACACATGCTGCACCCTGTTTGGACTGTGGCAATGTAACCCTATGTGGGTTTGCCCTTAGTACATGCTTAGAAACTAAGGGAATCCACCATGCTGCATCCAGATTGCTGATTGGAGCTTGTTACAAAAAGAACTGAAATTCCTTGTTTCAGTGCCTACCCAGTTCCCAGTCTTTTTCTAGGTACAAACCAGAGTGCTGTTTTTGACTTTTAAACCTCTAAATGACTTGGGTCAAGCCTGCCCTTATGAACCTTCCAGGATGTTAGGTTTTTTGAGAACCTTTCTCATGGTCACACCACCTTCACGGCCATGCCTGATAAGAACATGAGAGAGTCCCTTCACAGTGGCTGCTCCCAGGCTGTGGCCCTACTTCTTCTTGTTGTCTTACCTCCAGAAGGTAAACACCTCTCTGACAGACTTTTGTCATGTTACTGATTGACAAGCAAGGGGACTTTTAATATATGCTTTTAAATTGTTCTGAATTGTTTTTATTCAGTTTTTGTTTTGAAATGTAGTACTTCTTATTGGTTCTTTTATATTTTATTTTATTTATTTATTCAATTTTCACCCCGCCCCTCTAGGCAATGTCTACTCGGGGTGGCTTATATTGTATTTTATTGTATTTTGAGCTGCCTTTGTTGTCCAGATCTTTTGTTAAGTCATCCTGAGTCTCTTTAGTGGGAGTGGGTGTCATATATAAAAACCGATTGGTCAAATGAATTTTCCCCAACATAAAAAGACCTTTTAGAATCTCTTAGCAATCTCTTTTTGTTCTCAGCATTCAAAATAATTTAGTGTCCTCAATAAACTTCACCATCTCATGCTCACCCTTAACTCCAGGTGATTGATACCAACAAGTTAAAAAAGCACTACTCCCATTGTAAGTCTCTGAGGCATCTCACGGCTCACATTTCCCAATGGTGAAAACTGATCTTGTACTTCTATTCTCTGCCTTCTTTTGTTTAACCTGCTTTTAGTTCATGAGAGGACTTTCTCTTTTAGCCCATGACTATACACCATTTTTGGAACTTCAAGTCAACAGTGGCTGAAGTCACAACTAGACTTGGCCCACAGAATCAGTGAAACCCCTGGAGAAGTTGACTCACTGAATCCCCACTTGGACTACTCTAGTTTTGACGTACTATTGGGTTTCAGCCATTCTGTACTGAATCACTCCATCCATTTATTCAGTGACAATTTTGAAGGGTTAATGAAACAGGACTTACCTTTCCAGAAGCCATGCTGATTCTTTTTCAACAGGGCTTGTCCTTTGACATGCACAACAAATTTAACCTTATCCTTAGTAACACACTCCAATAATTCACCACTTCTTTTTTTGTGGAGTTTTTCCAATCTCGCATGCTGCATTTAGCAGATTGGGCTGGGAAAGATCTTTCTCAGCTGAGGTAATTGTTAGTCTATCCAGCACTAACCAATTGTTCCTTCCCTGCTTCTAAATTCAGAAGGACTCCCACTTCTCTGCTCAGCTCTCTCCCCTCCCCCTTTTAAGTCTGTTGAAAGCAGTAATATTTGTCAGTTTGGTGTTTGGTCTGTTCAATTGTAAGTAAATGAAACATTTTTATTCTTTATTCTACTAATGTCTCAAGGTGAGTTATTGAGACTTTAAGTGTCTGTTGATGAGGAAAAGGGGGCAGACTAATCTAGGAATTTGAAGCTATTCTGCTTTGTAAATCCCTGCACTTCTCCTGCATAGGCACAAGGAATTTAACCAAACATTCAAATTTTTCCCTAATTTCTGACAGGATGATGCTAGACTGGCTGCATATAACAAACTCACAGGCTCAGCCCTGTCAGTAGGCAGAGTCATTAAAGTAAAATTCAGTTGGCACACTCTCAGCCATTGGCATGTAAAGTGGGGAAAGGAAGGACACCATCTTGTTCCATTAACTAGTGGAACAAATATGTTGAACTGGACTGGCCAGGCAAGGAAGAGAGAGAGAAAGGAAGAAGAATGTGTGTCATATGGAGTTTTCCTTTTCCGATCATAGAGGCCCATATGGGCACTTTTTTTTCAAGGCACATTCCAACATTTCTTGTAGCACACCAGAGTTAGCAGGTATTTCATTTAGGAATAATCACTTTAAATGGATAACACATTAAGTGTTTATAAAAACACAGGCTAAGATCAAAACAGAGGATTTTAAAAAAAAGATCCACAGGTGGATAATACTTCTCTTTGGACAAGCCATAATCCCTCTCCAGTGGGTTAGCTTTGACTTATCTAGAACTCTTCTTCATCAGGGTAGATTCCTCAAAGCCCTCCCCCTTTTTTGCCACCAAGCCTCATGAATTAGTCTGGAGAAATTGAAAACGCATACAATATTGTGGTATAACAGTTAGTTTTATGTGCTGTGGAATACAACCTCATAATGTCAAAAGGCTCTGATCTGGGGAAAGAAGTAGAAATGAGCAGCATATAAATCTCAACAGAGACCAGTGCAATTAAGGCAAACTGTCTCAGCACTATCATATTGTCATACAGAACTACAGCATTAACAAAAAGATATTGGCTGAATTCCAGTTGCTTGCAAGTACTAAGTTACAACTAAAATAGGCCAGTTGAATCAAGGGAACTTATGGAGCAGCTGATTCATCATATCCCCACTGATTCAATGGGCCTCAAGTTGCGACTTGGAACACTAGGCAATAGGATTTCAGTCTGTCTATCTGTCTGTCTGTCTATCTGTCTAAAATGTATTGCAAACAAAAACTTTACAAAAGCAATAACAATAGTGATATATAAGAAAATTGGATGATACAAATTGTACACCACAAGGTTTTTTCAGCAGCACCAGAGCAGGAGTTGCTTGAAGAAATAAAGAAGAATTCAATTTTTTTTTATACTAAATGAGAACAAAGTCCCAGATATACATTTATTGATCAAGATGGGACATCCACGACATAAAGGAATCGGCTCCAAATACACAGTCTCTCAGACCCTAAACCAAGGTGGTCAGGCAAGGGCCTTCTCATTCCTCATGGGAAGAACGGCTCCTGCCCCTGCAGTCTCTCCTGCTCTTTCTAAATCAAATCCCGAATCACAGCCCCTTCCTGGGATAGCCCCTCGGACTGGGCTGAACCAAATAGTTTATTGGGGTTAAATATACACAGCCACACTAAAAACATATGAAATGTTTTTCGGCTGATGTTGTTATCAGTGGTATTTAAGATAAAAAACCAGGACAACTAAGGGCTCAGTCACACTGCCCATTTGAACTGATTCTGACTTTTTTTTTTAATCAGTATTAAGTCATGTGGTACAGTGGGGTCTTGACTTGAGAACTTAATCCATATTGGAAGGCGGTTCTCAAGGCAAACCCTCGGACTGGGCTGAACCAAATAGTTTATTGGGGTTAAATATACACAGCCACACTAAAAACATATGAAATGTTTTTCGGCTGATGTTGTTATCAGTGGTATTTAAGATAAAAAACCAGGACAACTAAGGGCTCAGTCACACTGCCCATTTGAACTGATTCTAACTTTTTTTGGTATCAGTATTAAGTCATGTGGTATATAAATCAGTAGCCATGTTCAATTTTGAATGAAATTAATTTAATTTATTTCTGGTAGTTAAAACAGGTTTGGGTGGCTACACAGGTGAAATTGATTCCTTTCCTTTCCTTTTTAGAGCATGCTGTTTATTAGAGCATTTTGTTGTTTTTTAAAAAGGATACATCATTCAATTGGTGGCTGCATTCATCTGAGAAATTATTCTAAACATTAGAAGGCAGTCCTGAAAAACTGTACATAATGTAGAGGACAGCACAAGTGATAAATGTGGGGAAATAAGTTTTCATTGCCAGAAAGGGACAAACCAGGAGGATGATTGTAATATAGAACATATTGATAAAGTAATGCAGAGATATACTCTTGACAATGCAGTTACAGTGCACTTAAGTGATGCATTGCTAAAAATTTTAAAAAAAGAATTGTTAAAAAACTGAGTGGCAAAATCTCAGTGCCAATGGTGCTCGAAATCAACAAAGTTACAAGGTAAATCGATAGTAGAATTCACAACCACCATCCCGAACTGGAATAAAATGATTTACAAGTGATGTATTTTAAAAGGTCCTTGCTACTAGTCAGTTCAAAAAAACGTGCTTTGCGGCCAAAATACATTGATTCCACCCACACATTGTGTGCCCTGGAATTTATTAACAGATTTAAATAACGCTTAAATCAATTTAACTGTGGTTCTTATTGCCAGTGGACTGCACTCTCAGCTATAAGAAAATACCAGGACAGTTACCAAGCATGTGGGACATACGGAGAAAAAATGTTAAAAATTAGTTAAAACATTGACCAAAAGCAGCTCTAGAACCCCTGTGCCAAAGAGAAAAGTTCACCAATGGAATTTATCTTTCCAGTACATTTGATGTAATTTTGTCCCCTCTTCTAGGAAAACTGCAAGGAAAAGGAGCAGCTTTTGGAAGAACAAAATGAAAGCATTGTCAAGATGGTGATAGATCACCATGAGAGAAAGGCACAGAGCTTTGAGGGAATAAAGAACACAAAAATGGAGTACCTTTATGAACAGATGGTTAATTTTCAAGAATATATTGACACAGCAAAGGAGACACTGGAGACTATAATCAAGGAGGCAGAAGGAATGGATGATTTTGTTTTCCTGCAGGTATGTACAATACTATATTATCACTGGTAAGATGTTCCAGACTTTTAGACAGTTGAAAAATGTTTATACACTATATTCTCCCGTACATACATCAACATGTTAAGTAGAGATTGTTTCTTCAGTATTCGTACAACTGAGCTAGAAACTCAATGGACCTTAGAGACATTGTGAAGGGAAGCGAAAAAAATTATTTTTTATAAAATTGCACTGGCGGATGATGTCATCAACTCTATGCCACAGAATTTACACAAAGAGGATTTTAACCAATGTTTTAAAAATAACTTGGGGAGAGGGGGAAAAAAAGAAATTGCAGGATAGCTCAATGGTTTAGGCATCTGGCTGTGGAGCTAGAGGTTGGGAGGTTCCCCACTATGCCTTGACAGGGGCTGGACTTGATGATCTATAAGGTCCCTTCCAGCTTGCTAGTTCTAAGATTCTAAATATTGGACTAATAATCCAGTTCGTCATGCCCCAGGGAAAGCCAATGGGGTGCAGTGAATATCATGTTGGATAAGGACTCAGGAGAGCTGGGTTATTCTCTGCTTGGCCATGGAAACCAAATCGAGGTAATAGTGGTTAAGCCACTCCTTTAATAAGGTAAAGGTAAAGGTTCCCCTTGACAATTTTTGCCCAGTCGTGTTCAACTCTAGGGGGCGGTGCTCATCCCCATTTCCAAGCCATAGAGCCAGCGTTTGTCCAAAGACAATCTTCCGTGGTCACATGGCCAGTGCGACTTAGACACGGAACGCTGTTACCTTCCCACCGAAGTGGTTCCTATTGATCTACTCGCATTTACATGCTTTTGAACCACTAGGTTGGCGGGAGCTGGGACAAGCGACGGGAGCTCACTCCGTCGTGTGGATTCGATCCTACAACTGCTTGGTCTTTTGGCCCTGCAGCACAGGCTTCTGCAGTTTAGCCTGCAGCGCCACCATGTCCCTTTAATAATTCACCATAAATCTGGTGGCATATAATAACAAAGCTCTCCAGCTTCATCACACAGAAATGTGGTTCACAGATTTTTTTTTTTTAAAAAAGATAATAATTCTGACCTGACTGTTCATATTAAAGATGTACAAAGTAGATGCAGCAAGCCTAAACTGTTTAGCTGTTCAGGTTTGGCATACTCTTAATTAATTCCCATGGCCTAAATCTGTACAGGAAATGCCTGAATTAGAATACAGCCTAAAGCCGAAATTATAATAGGTTTTGGATTTTTCTGCTTTTTATGCCATATTTAAGAATATGGTCCAAATGAATGCAGGTTAGGGTTGTCAACAGATTAAAGACTTTTGTTCATTAATCTCTGGATTTAAGGGATACATATTAGCAAATACAGGACTTAGGACAAAGTACATTATCTAACAGTTGTGCATAGATGTTAAAAGACATGTACAAAATACCAAAGAAAGTACGGTACAAAAAAGTGGATGATAGCTAGACTTCTGCTTATACATGCCAGCCTAAGTAATAAATAATAATTGTGTACTGTCGAGTCAGTTCTGATTTAGGGTGACCCTTTTCATGGTTTTCTAGGTAAAGAATATTCAGAAGTGATTTACCATTCCCTTCTTCTCAGGCCATCCTGGGAATATGCATCTTGCCCAAGGCTATACAGGCTGTCTCTTCTGAGATGCTCAGTAAGAAATTGATCTCCTCGCCTCTGGCTCCACAGCCAGATACCTAACTAACTGAGCTACCAGGCAATTTTAAAAAATGTGTGTCGTCAAGTCGATTCTGACTTATCGATGGTACTATATTGCATCTGGCAAGGGTACATGCCCATCGATCTTGTGGCTGTTCTAGGAGATAAAGATAGCTTGGTCTACAGGCCTGGGTAAGGGGCAGCTGAAAATGAAGTGGAGAACAAACTCTTTGGGCAGCGCTATGCAAAGTTTGCCCCTCTATATCCAAAAACCTTTTTTGATTGTGTGTCGTCAAGTCGATTCTGACTTATTGTGACCCTTTTCAAGGTTTTCTAGGCAGAGAGTAATTAGAAGAGGTTTACCACTCCCTTCTTCTCTAACATTGTAAATCAGAACAGCGAATTGCCACTAGTTAAGGAGTCACTGGATACCCAGTGTGGTGTAGTCATCAGAGTAATGGATTAGGACTTTGGAGACCATGGTTCGAAGCCCCGCTTGTCCATAGAAACTCACTGGGGGAATGGAACTGATAAAACCACTCCTTAAATATCTTACTTACCTTGGAAGTTCTATTAGGCTCACTATAAGTTGGTTCTGACTTGACGATACATAACAACAACAGCAACAAGTCACTTCTTGTATTTGCACTCAGTCATATGAACTAGGCCTGGCGTACTCTGGTCCATGGGGTCACGAAGAGTCGGACATGACTAAACGACTAAACAACAACATATAAACTAGTACACAGCAAGGGAAATGAATGGTGACTCTTATTTGCTGCTGTGATTTGCGCTGGAGTACATAAACAATAGGATTCATGCTAACATTGTGAGCAAAATAATGCTTCTTATTATTGGAAAGAAATGTCATCTTTTTTGTCCCCCGCTTAGAGGAACACCTAGAAACAGGACCGGGACCCAGTTCAGAACTAAGTACCGTAGCCCCAGTGACCCCCAAATGCTGTTGTCATGTTTCAATATATTTTTTTGGAAAAGTTCAGCTATGCTGCTGAGCTGAGCTATGTCTGCAGACATCATCCTTGTTTCACCAACGAGGATTTTGTTTTTGCAAAGACTCAGAGGTAGTCCGGAGGGTATGGAGATGCCAAACTCCTCTGCAGCTTTGCCCTAAGCATACCCAGACTGTTCTGTGAATGTTAAAGTCTGGCTCTGCCACTGTTTAGTAAGGACTGTGAGGGAGGGGAGTACATGGAAAGAGGAAGAGTACAGGGAGAGTGTGATGAAGATGAATGAAGAGGTAAGGGGGGCAGCACGGACAGATGGGGGAAAGAACAGAACTGGGCTGCTAATAATAGGCAAATGGACTCATGAATTCAGACATGTTATTTTCCTCCTTAGCACTATTTCTTCATCAGTTCTGCAACTTTGTGGGTGTGCAGGATGGGGAGGTTCTGCTGGTGTAAATGAATTTCCTATGGTTCTAGGGAGGTTCTACTGGATTCCACTGGTACAATAATTCGGCCCAAATGGAGTCGGTCTGTGAGTGGAATCCAACAGAGTAAATGGCCCAAATATTTTGTAACATGAATTAATCCATTCCTTTCCCACCTTTCCCTCCCTTAGTCATCAGAAGAGATAAACAAAAGGTATATGAAATGTAGCTTTGGCGTCTTGTGGTGTGTGTTGGGATCAGCATGTCTGAATGCTTTAATACAGTACTTTCAAGCTCCATTGGAGGCATGCTGCTAGTATAAATACCTCCTTTTTAAAGGCGCAGATATTAAAGAAGAAATTGTGTGCTTGGTAATGCGGCTGCAAGCTTTCGAAATATTTTGCATGCACTTTGCTTTTCGTAATTTAAATACTAATAATAAATATTACATTATTAAATTGCTTTTCTTTACAATAGCATTTGCGTACTTGTTTGCCAGCAGATGATTATGATGGTTGCACAAAACCATTTAAGATTCCAACTGCCAATATTTTTGAGAGCTTCTCTTTTGCTGTTTTGCTGCCTTAATTTCCTTGTTAGATGAAATGTTGAGGAACGTCATCCTCTTTGTCAAACTGGTAGGCAAGACTAAATTTAGACTTTGATATACATGTGAATGATTTGACCCCGTGAGGTCTTAGTTTGTCTTGCTGTTTTTGCTTCTTTTGTCAGAAACATTATATTTAAGCAGTTTGATGGTGGCTTTTAGAAGAACTCCTTCCAATCAATATGTTAAATGTTAATATTATGTTTAAAATAATGTCTTAAGCAAGGGCCATTTTAGTTGGCCTCAGATTGGCAGAGGTCAACAAAACAATTCCTAGAGAGTTGAAGATCGGCAGCATCCAATTGCAGCATAGTTTAGTTCAGAGAGACAAAGAGTAGAGATCCTATGACTAATTTAGGGGCTATTCTGAGAATTCCAGCAGCCTCAGGAGCATCAGCTCTAGAGCATGCAGGATAATGAAAAAGGCAAAGGGGTTGCTCTGCATATCTAAATGGTGTATCTTGTAGCTATGAGAATGAACTGGAAAATCTGGGTTGTTAGGATGACAGCCGTGACGTAATGGTGCCATGACTCACAGAGCTGAAGCCATGGGACTTTCTTAGTAGCAGAGATGATGACATCATCAGCCCCCCTTCATGCTCTCCTGTTCTCCCTGACCTCAGCTGCAATCCTTGTGCTAAATGAGTGAGGAAAACATCTTTCCAGGAACAGTATATTGCTGCAAGCTACCACTTCACAGTGCAAATTCTCTGATGGTGGGTTGGTCCCTAATGAGTAGTTAAGAGCCGTTCATTACCTTTGCAAAAGAACTGCTGCTTACTTGTTGATCTGGACCGATCCAGCTGCCTGCAGTTCTGAAAGATTTATATGGGTGCGTGAGCATGGGAAATGTCACAATGAGCATCTGCACTTTTGAATTTTCCATGACAGTACAGTACTGATTCGTACCCTCTCATTCCTTGAGCTTTCAATTCCAAAGCCTGACAGAAATGGACACCAAAACCAGAGTCTCAAGGCAAAAACCTGAAACCTAGCATCCTAAGTTCAAATAATGGTCCTACAGTACCATAAGGCATACATTACTTGACCCTTGTGCAGTTTTTGAAGTACCCAGACTTTCCTCTTGTTGGCAAGACTGGATACATAGTGACAGGGAAATTTTGGCCGTCCAGATACTTTGGACTTCAGCTTCCAGAAGCTCAATCCAACATGAAAATGGTAGACAGGCTGTGGATGTTGTAGTCCAAAAAATCTGGAGGACAACAGGTTCCTCATTCATTTACTCCATGGACAATCATATCATCTTTAAACCTCTTTCTGCATAGTCACCATGCATAGAAGCTGTGCAGTTAGAGGATTCTGGAAGTTGTAGTCCAAAAAGGTAATTTGTCTGTACTTGATGTAGAAACACCAATATGTGACTGGTGCTGGGGGGGCATTTTAGGATGTTGTAGGAACCTTATGGATATATTCTCTCTCTTGTAGTGCTGCCACTGGCCAATGTAGTGGATGTGCTATACATAGAGAAGGTCAGAAGTGCAAACACAAGTACATTTAGTGAAAAGATTTCAGGTTGTGGGAAATCTTGGAAAAAGTGCTCCTTGATAATCTGGAGAGTCACTATAAGACACAGTAGACCAGGGGTAGACTTCCAGACCCTGTTGGACTGCAGCTCCCATTATTCTTCATTGGCCTAGGAAATGGTAAGATAAGGGACTTGTAGTTTTGAGACAGCTACGTACATCTTCCCCATTCCTGGAGTTAACAATGTCTGCACTAAAAGAGAGAGAAATGATTGAGTATAATATTTGCATGACCCTTTCCTCTAAAATAATCAATTATTCACAAATGAATTAATGAAAATTTTAAATGAAAAAAAAAAACCTGTATGAATGTGGGACACTGAGCTTCTGTACTCACTATTAGGAAAGCCAGGGAATGCCAATATTTCTGCACAATATTGCCCATGTTGCCAACTGGAAAAAAGGATGCCAAGCTTTACATAGCAAAGGGCAGCCTGAATGCTGACAACACCAAGATAACACCAGGATGCCCTCTTCTGCTCACTGCCACTCACACTTGTTGAAAAACATAACAACTTGTTTTGCCAACAGGTGCTTTCCAAAGGTTTAGAAGTGGGTGAGGTACAGTGGTGCCTCACTTAATGATTGCCCCGCATTACGATGAATCTGCTTTATGATGATCTTTTTGCGATCGCAATTGGTCTAAATGGGGGAATTTTGCTTTGCAATGATCGGTTCCCTGCTTCAGGAACCAATTCTTCGCAAAACGATGTTTTTTAAACAGCTGATTGGCGGTTTCAAAATGGTCCCCGCTGTTTTCTAGGGACGGATTCCTCGCTATACAGGCAGCGAAAATGGCTGCCGTATGGAGGATCTTCGCTGGACAGTGAGTTTTTACCCCATTGGAATGCATTGAACGGGTTTCAGTGCGTTTCAATGGGTTTTTTATTTTCGCTTCACGATGTTTTCGCTTAACGGCGATTTTCCTGGAACGGATTATCGTCATTAAGCGAGTCACCACTGTAATCAAACTTGCCCTGTGGGCTGACTGGAGATACATTCTGATTGGTCAGAATGCTATGCAATGCGAATAGTTCCTTTGGAATTCTCAGAAGTTACTTTAAAAAGGCAGCAATTTCAGAAGTTGTAGGGTTGAAAAGCAGTAATTAAAGGCTCTGAATTAGAGCCCTGATTGCCCCGATTCCCATGGATGAAGAAAAAGAGGTTAAAATGGAGCCTTTTCTCCCTACATATGCAAATTTTGTCTTAGCTACATTTTTTATCTCTTTTTCTTTTAGCTGAGGAATTGGTTGCTTGTTTCTGCATGGGGGTAAAACAGTGTTGCTTTTTTAAAAAAAATCACAACTTGAAAAGCATTTCCCCAAATGTCCTCAACTTTGGCACAGAGCAAGAGCAGACGTTCTGCTGCATTCGCACCAAGGTTGGTGCTGATCTGAGCTCTAGTTTCTTAGTTATAATTTTTTGTTTGGGCACACCTATCTTTTGATTTTGCATGTAGAACCCTGCTTACTGTGCTTATGCAAAATATATGACAGGACTACTGTCATGCCGTAATAAACCATGCACAAATCCAGTGTGTGTGTGGAATATGCAGAGATTTGAAAAGTGTCCTTTTAATAGTTTCAGAACTTCCCAATAATATACTTTCTGCCAAGATCCTATTAGACAGCTTTCTCCAACCTGGGCTTCTCAGAGGTTTTGAACGACAACTCCCATTATCATCCCTACTTGTTGTTCATGGCAGCTCGTGGGAACTGGCATCTGAAAAGAGAGTAACTTTTCCAAGCTTTGGGTATGTGTGACAGTTTGCAACACATCTTCTTATGTAACAGAGAGAAGTTCAAAGTTACACTGCTGGCATCAGAAACCAAACAGCAAACACAGCTGTTTCAGTTAGCTATGAGTATGGAGGGAAGTGATGCTACCAAGAAGTAAAAGAGTGGTTTCTGTCTTCATGGGGGCTCACGGACCGTGCAGAAATATATGCATGTTTAATGAAAAAGAGAACGTATGGCAGCAGAGGGAGGGTTATTGCCCTGCAAAAAATAAAATAAAAAATAAAAAAAGTACAGCGAGAATTGAGCATGCTCAGTTGTATGCATGAGCCACAAGATGTCACTGAAGAAAGCTGAGAGGAGGAGAAAGTATCCACAGACACTGGATTTGGGCACAGTTTATTTTTTTAGAGGAAAGGATCATGCAAACTCAGCTGCTTGTACCTAATGAAAGCCTTTCCCAACCTGGCACTCCCCCAATGCGGTATATTTCAACTCCCATAATCCCCATCTGTTAGGAATGATGGAGGTTGTTGTTAAAACATCTGAGGCGGCCAGATTGGGGAAAGCTGTTTAATGGGGTCCTGGAGCAAGGCATGGCTGAAACAGGAGTGCTTCTGTTAAGAGAGTGAGGATAATTTTTGAAAGGTTTTTTACAGATCCCAATGTGTATCTCTGTTTTTTTTAATGCAAATGCATAATGTATGATTGTTCTCTTTAAATTATAACAATTCATTTGCTTAAATTAAAATAATAAATGTACTATAAAAGATGATGCCCTATTAGTTTGCAGAAACATTACTTCAGTTCCTTCAAGTACTTGTTCTGTCTCACATTTAAAAATGTGTTCTTTTCTCCCACTGCCGTGAGCTCAGCAAATAAGAGCTAATTGCTTCTGATCCATTTTGCTTTCATTTTTCCTTCCTTGTTTTTTTTTTAGGGATTTGTTAGCTCTGCGAGATGTTTTTAATACAGTGGTGCCTCGCGTAACGGGCGCTCCGTTTAGTGATGAAATCGCTTAGCGATGACTTTTTCGGAGCGTTTTTGCGCTTTGTTTAGCGATAGTCCCTAAGGGCGATTTTTGCTTAGCGATGGTTGGGACCATGCTTCGCATAGCGATTAAATTTTGGGTCCCCTGTTTCGCTTAACAATGGTTTAAACAGCCTCATGTTTGCTGTTTTTTAAACGTTTTTCTGTTATCTATAAAGTTAAAGGTTACTGTTTAAAATGTTTGAAATCATAAAGTGCACTTAATAAACCCTTTGTCAACCAAATTTGACTTTGTTCTGACCCTTTTTAAATGTGTTGTTGTATTTTTTCCCCATTGAGATGCATTGAATAGGTTTCAATGCATTTCAATTGGGGAACCGCATTTCGCTTAGCGATGTTTCCTATGGCAATTTTCGCTTAAGGACGGCAATTCGTTCCTATTGGAACGGATTATCCGGTTTTCAATGCATTTCAATGGGAAACCACGTTTCGCTTAGCGATGAAATCGCTTAGCAGCGATTTTTTCGGAACGAATTAACATTGCTAAGCGAGGCACCACTGTATTGTATTTGGAATTCTTCAGCTTTGTGGTTGTTCGTTGTCTGTTTCATATTTCATAATACACTTTTCATTCATTTGAACAGTATTTCACAAGGAGCTTGGTTTTATTTTAAGCTCTCCCCACATGTTACTGCTTGAGATAAAGGCAGATATGTTTGATCTACCTTCAGTTCCAGATTACGGTTTCTAGATATCAATCCTGGAAACCTGCCTTTCTTTTCAACCAGGGATGGGGAAATCTTGGCCCTCTTTGAAGTTGTTTTGAACTTCAGCTCAGAAGCTGCAGATGATACAGCCAGTGGTGAGAGATTTTGAGTTAAGAATTAAAAACACTGGGAAGCTTGAAGATGCCTCACTTCTGACCTAAACTTTAAGTCATAAAGGCACCAGGAATTAATATGACTGTTGCATTTTAATTCTGCACCTCACCAGACAGATGCAAAGGAGCAAGACTTAAAATATGGTCCAAAATCAGACAAAAGAGAGCACACGTTTCTTTCAGCTACTCTTTTAAAATATTGAAATATAACACTAAATCACACCAGATAGTGGTTTGTCAAGATGTTCAAACCAACACTATTCAGCAGGTCATGATTTATGCTGCTAAACCAGTATAAAAAACTGAAATTCAGGTAAACTGTGGTGTGGCATTATTATTGAATTGGTAAACCATTGCTTTATATGATCCTCGACCATTAGTGGTCATTGTTCAGGGATTCTTAGGAAAAGGGGAAAGAAACCAGTGTTTCACTGTAAATGTCTGCATGAATCATGTTTCTGTAACTTAAACCATGATTAGTGCAAACCATGGTTTAGTGTTATATCTAAACTAACCAAGTTGCCTCTGAAGAAGATTCATTACCCAAAGAGCTTTGGTCCTCAATATACAGTTCTAATTGTATTTCTGAGGCCTCCTTTTTCCTTCATTTCTTTCCTGGTGCTTTCTCTTGTTTCATTTTCTGCCACACACTGACGGGCAGCACTATCTGTTCTTGTTACCTCTCCCCACCATAAAAATCCCCAATAATAGTATATATGCTATTTACTGGTGAATTGTTGTGCATGATTAATTAAATAGTCTGTATTTGGATTGGTGATTCACAAACTGCAGGCCTGGTTTAAGAAATATCAGGTCATAGGGTCCCGTTCCTCCTCCCCCCAGTGTTTATTTTGGCAGCAGGATAGTACTAGAATGCTTGTTAATAATGGTGTATATTTTCCTTCACATAGACTGCTTTCTGCAGTGGAGAATATTCTGACATTGGAAAAGATGCCTGATGCATTTTCACAGTTTGAACATTATGCGGGTGGTTCAGCAAATGGTGACCAGACCTTAAAACACATGCCTGGTAAGAATCTGTGCAAACAATTAGGTACAAGCTGGGAAATGTAGCAAAGCCTAAAAAAGAAATGTGCTTGAGAAAGGAAGCTGGTGTTTTGAGCTTGTGCATATAATTAGTAATCAGCTCTGTTTGAAGTGAAGCCTGATTGTGCCTAAGTGTTTGGATTATGGTGGAGAAAACTGAGGAAGTGGCAACTAACACTTCTTGTTCATGCTAAAAAGGCACGTCACTTGCAAGTCTGGATTACTCATTATGGGAAGCAAGCTATGAAGTATATCTTCTTATGTTATGAAGAAAGGCCAAGAGAAGAGCCAATGAGTTGTGCTACTGCACCTTTCAGATCTTCCTGAGTGTTGAGCAAGGAAAAAAAAAGGCATACAGAGTCATCATAGTAGCCGTGCTATGCAACCCATTAGGATGGGATATGATGGCCACCTTTCTGCCCAACTGGTCCCCTTGTCAGCTGCAGCATAAAAACAGAGGATAAGGAAAAGGGGGGGGCGGTGGCGGCGGAAGGACCATAATACATTTAAAGTAAAGGCAGGCAATATGCCCTTCCAACCCCCCTGTTGCTGTTCTTAAAACTGTTACCTTGAAAGAAAGAAAGAAAGAAAGAAAGAGAGAGAGAGAGAGAGAGAGAGAGAGAGAGAGAGAGAAAGAG